AAAATATATATATATATATATTTTTTTTAAGACAGTCTCACTCTGTTGCCTGGGCTAGAGTGCCGTGGCGTCAGCCTAGCTCACAGCAACCTCAAACTCCTGGGCTCAAGCAATCCTCCTGCCTCAGCCTCCCGAGTAGCTGGGACTACAGGCATGCGCCACCATGCCCAGCTAATTTTTTCTATATATTTTTAGTTGTTCAGATCATTTCTTTCTATTTTTTAGTAGAGACGGGGTCTCGCTCTTGCTCAGGCTGGTCTCGAACTCCTGACCTTGAGCCATCCACCAGCCTCGGCCTCCCAGAGTGCTAGGATTACAGGCGTGAGCCACCGCGCCTGGCCCATAAAAATATTTTTTACTAATAATCAAGAAATATGAATAAAATTAAAGAGGTTCTTTTCTTTTTCTGCCTATCAACTTGATAAAGGTAAAAAGTACTTACAATATCCAGTGTTGGTGAGAATATAAAGAAAGTTGACTCTCAGGCACTGTAGAATATAGATTAATATAATTTTTTTGCAATTTAGCTATATTTATAATTGTAAAAGTGCTTCCCTATGACCCCACAATTCTACTTCTATGAATTCCTCATAAGGAGGTAATCAGGAAAGTCCACAAAAGGTGTGCACGTAGAAGAATATTCATTATAGTATTTTCATAATATGAAAAACTTAGAAATAATCTAATTGTTCACCAATAATCAGGTAAATTATTGTTTTTCTACACAATGGAATACTATGCAACAATTGAAAATCACATAAACCATTACTTATGGATATAAGATGGCCATAACTTTTTAAATGTCTTATTTTTTTAATTATGTATTTTTTATACTTTTGTGTGAAGCATGTGACTAGTGAAGAAAAGACTATGGAAAAGAATTGTCAAAATGTTTGTGTACTATGTGACAATTTTTAAATGAGTATTTAATCATTCAACATTCATTATTCATTCAGCAATATTAAGCACTTAACATGTGCCAGGCATTGTGCTAAGTGCTGGAGAAAAGAGAAAACAGTCTGTTAAGTGATCTGAGTCTGTTACTTCACCTGCAAAGCTCAGATCCTTAAGGACCCTTTCAACTCCTACCTGAGTCTAGGTACTCATCCATTCTTCTTTATAAAGAAAATTAGTAGTCGGTAGATGTTAGGTTGGCAGCTGTTTGCAGAGCTGTCTTAAACTATTTCATTTGGGGATTTATATAATTTGGAAGAAAATGTCCATTTTTTTTTAGTGATCTAATCTATCAGGTATCTTGCTTGGGGTTGAGGGTACAGAAAGTGCCTGCATGGAGTTCGAAGTCTGGTGGAGGAAACTAGTAATAATAAAAATGGGTGGTCAACGATAACAGAACCTTGAAAGATGAGATCTCCAGGGAGTAAGGAAGAGGATTCCAAAGTAGAAAGAAAAGCATGCACAAAAACAAGACACTCGAGGAAGGGTGTGGCTGACACACACAAATGGCCCATTATTTTGTGGCCTTTTCTGCAGCGTCGTTCTTCTCAGTCACACAAGACCCCAAATCTGTGGACACTGAATGAGAGGTTGAGCCTGGATCACCCGGAGTTACAGCTGTCGTCTCCGGTGATTTCAGGTGCAGCCCGCCAGGCTGGGGAGAAACTGGAGGGAATCTGCAACACACAACGAAATTTTGCTGAGAATCCAAGAGCGACGTGACAGGGGCGGCCCCGCAGCTCTCAGCAGCAGCTGGCATTACAGGCCCGGGGTTTCCTGCCAACCTCAGTTCCTATCTTCCGAAGCCCCGCCCACCCCCGAACGGGCTGTGAGCTTTGAGGGCGGGGAAGAGTTAGAAGAATCGATATCTCTGGGCTAGACTGCACTATCCTGCGCCGCCGTCGTCAAAGCCCCGCAGACTTCTCTGTAGATCTCCGAGCAACATTTTCGGCGGCGCTCCCTGATTCGTAGGTTTGCAGGAGGCTGCAGTCAGGCCCGCGCCAGAACCATGGTACGTTGGATCCCTTTTCCCTGGAAGGTTTAGGGCATAGGTCCAATGATTGGGGGATGGCAAGCCACCTCTACTGTCATCCTTGGCGTGGCCCGGGGCCACGGGGCCACGGGGCATGCTAGGCTCAGCCGACGGGAGGTCTCCGGCAGTGATTCAGCATCTCCGGCCTGTCCCGGCGAGGGACAGTCGGTAGTCGGTGCGGCATTTTCACCGCGACTTAGTTTCGCTTTCTGCGGGGCCTGGGACACTTCCTCCCATATCCGAGTTCGCCCCTCAGGTCCCTTCATTGGAGGAGATTCTGAGTGGTCCAGCGTGGCCCCTCGTGTTTTGTATGGGAGAGCAGAAGATGGGGAATTAACTTGAAGACCTCCTTACACCGCTAGTGCGGACTTAACCCCAGGGTTTGTGTTCCAGAGTCCATTTTCCTGGTGGGTTTGTCTGATTTCTCTCTCCCCGAGAGCTCAATTAGAAAAGGACCTTTTCAGTCACTTTGTCCAGTCGCCTAGTTACAGAAAAGTAAACCGAGGCTGAGAGGGGAAGTGATGGAATCGAGGTTACAATATAGGGCTCTGGGCTTCCAGTCCTATGTTTGCCATGCCAGCACTCAGTTTCACCCCCGTGATTATTCTCCAAAGTATTGATAGATTTGTTTTAATACTGTCATTATAGCAGTAATGGTTATATCGGTGTAGCTATTTGTATGCACCTCTAACTTCCTGAGGGTATTTTGGTTTTATTCATTTAATATAAATATTAAAACACACAAAGCGCTTGTACAGGTACAAGTACACTGAAGGTTCAAAGATAAATCAGACAAATCCCTAATGATAAAGAGAGTTAGAAAGGGACTTTTAGTTAAAGAACTGTGAGAGTATGTGTTGGAGGGATTTGGAGAGAAAGGAGACTTCAAGAGATAGACATTTGAGTTAATTTAAAGAAAAGGCTTTTGACCTTTCTTTTTTTTTTTTTTTTTTGAGACAGAATCTGGCTCTGTTGCCCAGGCTAGAGTGCCGTGGCGTCAGCCTAGCTCACAGCAACCTCCAACTCCTGGGCTCAAGCAATCCTCCTGCCTCAGCCTCCCAAGTAGCTGGGACTA